TTTTTTATTGGGCTGGAACTATTCACCAAGTGTAACCCAAGTTCGTGAATAGTTCTGGCGGCCCTTTGATAGTAAATTCAGTTGAAAAATACTATTTGCCACAAAAATGTTACCAGCCCTACTGACTCCTGGCTCTCAGGATTGTTAATGGGATGACAGAACCCCACTAAGATGCAAGAAGAGTCTAGAATAAGGCACCATGTTTAGTATCTAGGACACAGTCTACATTTTCCATACACGACTATTGATTTAGGTGCCCAACATGAGACATTGAGAAATTTGAAAGGGGATTGACTTTTCAAACTGGGCAGCCAAAAGTCACTAGGCAATTCCAACATTCTTGTTTCCAACAGCCTGTTGGGAATGCCTACGTCACACTGGGTATTACTAATGTACTACTATGCAAGTGACCCTGGATTAAAGGATTCCTTAGGTCTCTTTGTGTGCTAAGGTATACCCAAGGCATCTTTTCTGGGGAAGAGCGCAAGGCATTTTAGTTTAATGTGTATGGTGACTATTTGCCATGTAGAAGGAAGTATACAGGCAGTCCCCGAGTTACGCGGATCCAGCTGTCCCGCGGCCGGCGTCCTCAGAGGCTTTGCTTCCCGTCTCCCTGGTCTGTTGGTCTCCAGCAGACCAGGGAGACGGGCAGCAAACCCCATTCGTAACTGCGGATTCGACGTAAGTCGGATCCACGTAACTCGGGGACTGCCTGTATTTACCTTTCTGTAGTGTATCTATTACAATGGGATCTTCAACAGTAAGTACAATGCAGTGTCTATCATATGAACTAAGGGTGTTAAGAAATGGTTAATAAGCTAATTGAGTAGTTGATGGAATTTCCATTGACTACTCGATTAGTCGATAAGGGGGGCACTCACTGTTGCTGTGGCTCTGCATTTTAAATGTAGTATATTTAAAGTGTGGAGCTGTAGTGGGAATAGTTCCTGGGGCGGCATGAACCAGGATTGAGCAGTCCTGCCTCATGCCAGCTCTGGAACTGCTGCAGCTCTGCCTCCCCTGCTCCCCACCCCTACACTGCGGAGATGGTGCAAGGGGGAAATTGGCTTTTAAGCTGGCTCCACCCCAGCATTGGCTCCTGCGTCCCCCCACCCTTGCTGACTCTGTTACAGAGGCAGCAAGTGGAGGGGAAAGTGAGTAGTCAAGTAGTCACTTGACTACCTGATAACCCTAGGCTTATCGGGCAATTGACTACAGGCAGTCCCCGACTTACGCGGATCCGCACTTACGAACGGGGCTTTCTCGCCCCGGAGCTCGCAGGCAGCAGTCCGCCACCTCGACCTCCGGGGCGAGAAAAGCTGCTTCCGGTGCCCCTGGTCTGCTGGGGACCGTCTCCAGCAGACCAGGGGCACCGGGAGCAAAGCCGCAGTGGCGGCGGGGGC